TGGAAACCATATCTGGCCAATATTATAATGTAAAGAGGAGTCCACATTTAAAAGATTAAAAAATAAATCATAATAAATAAAGCTTAGAAAGCATCTAATCAAATGGTTTAAGTTATTTTGATAAAGTATACTATCCTTAAGCATATTTAATATAATAAATCTAATATGATATTATGAGCCATTTGATTGGGGGATAGAAAAAGAAAGAAACAAAGGAAAAAAAATGAAAGAAATGAAAGATGAAAAAAAATACAAACAAGGAGAAACAAAAAGGAAAAGAAAAGAGAGAAGAAAAAGAAAAAAAGAAAAAGAAATTGAATAGACTTGAAGCCTTTGAAACAAAAAAAAAAGTACAAGTTCAGGCAAAAGAAAAAGAAAAAAATAGAGAAAGAAAAAAAAGTAATAAAAAAATATTATAATGTAAAGAGAAATCCCACATCTAAAATATTAAAAAATAAATCATGATATATAAAATTTAAAAAATATTTAATTAAATGACTTAAGTTATTTCAGTAGAATATACTGTACTTAAGCATACTTAATATAATAAATGTAATAGCCAAGATGCCTTCTTTCGCCAGATGCTCTGTCACTTTATTTGACTCCCTCCGACCATGTTTGAACACAACCTCCCATTTCCCCTTAATCATCGATTTCGCCGTCATGGCAATCCCGTAATCGGAATTGTTTTCATTGATCTCGTTCTCCATCAGCGCGAGGGCCTCACTTGAATCAGACTCGACAATGACTTTCTTGAATCCTGTATCCCAAGCTAATTTGACGCCATGAACACAAAGCCCAAATCTCCTCGATGAAGCTATCACCTTCCAGGTAATCCATGCATGAAGCCAACTACAAAAGTGCCATTAGAGTCTCGTAGGATTCCCCCGCAAGCATTTGACTGCACCACGAGGGAAGGCACCATTAACGTTTACCTTTACCTAATTATTGCTAGGTGTCGTCCATCCCACACGAGGGTCCGACGTTGGAGTTAGGAGTCTTTTTACACAGAATGTTCTGAGCCTCTCTTATACTGTTGATCACCGCATGAGATCAGCGTGCCAAAATGGTTTCATTGTTCACCTTCTTGCCTTCAAAAGTAAACATATTACGGCGTCACCAAACCCACCAACTAAACACAGTGAATATCGTTCTCCAGTTATCACCTTCCACATCTGCATGTTTGCTAGATGAAAGGTTCCACCATACCCATATCCATTCAGCTCCATCTTCAAGTCTTCGCCAGCAGGCCGAAGGAGGCACCGGGTTCTTCCATAGCTTCTCTGTATTCTCACAATCACGGAGAACATGGAGAAGAGTCTCAACTTTCTGACCACAACACGGACATACAGATCGCTAGTACTCGTACCGTGTTTGCATCTTGATATATTCGTGAGCAGTCGTCCTCGAGAAACCAACCACATGGATGTTCGACATGTTTGCGGAACTTTCAGACTCCATATTCTGTCCCAAGTCAGATTTGATTGGGAGCCCTTTGTACTTAGCTGTTCATAGGCCGACTTCACTGCTGTAAGTGAACCGCTCCTCTCCCACTCCACTGGTAATCACAGAAGCCTTGTATCCTCTAGGCCATCCTTTGCCTTCTCCCATGTCGCCTTAATCCCTGACCACATATTTGATCCCGGTCTCTTCATCTCAATCTTTGGAAGAATATCATCCCCACGTCTATACTTGTTACAAATGACTGTAATCCCTTGTAGCTCTGGTCACTACACAATTTACAACCTATCAATGGTAAATTCGTGCTTCTAAGATGTACCGGGACTTATTTAATTTTGAATAATTTACCGCATGCATGTCAAAAAATATAAAACTATTTCCATGTAAAGAAATGAAAAGTAATGAAAGCATAATGAATGAGCAAGAAAAATCAGCCAACATAGGCGGTAACCCTTGAATAATGTATGATTCACCCCTCCCCCGACTTTATGTCCATGTTAATTTGACTCTGTTTCATTTAAATCAGCCAAAAACTTAGTGCAACTTTTTAAAAAATACGGGTGTACCTAGAAATAAAATAAATTCATGCTACCGGTGTCAAGTGTGCATTTATTAATTTTGTAAGTCTGTCTCTCTCGCTGTGTGTGTGTGTGTGTGTGTCTATATATTATCATATGAATTCCTGAAAATGTGTTTAATATCATGCCGTGATCGATCCAATCTCCATTACCGGTGATATTTTTCTTTTCAACATGGATGCCAAAGTGCCTCAAGTTACTTACGCTGAAAACAGTCATCATATTGAGCCAAGCCTCACATGTCACTTCTTGTGGATGTGTATCGTCCATGACATGACTTCCATATTTTTTTTTCAGACTTCGAGATATTATTTTAGCAGAATATTATTAAAATCATGGGATATGCGTGGAAGAGTTACGAAGACTTTCAAATATGTATGAATAAAATTCTGTATTTCCGGTGCATGGAGCCAGTCATTATGCTGTGGTTCGATAATTAAGTTAAATTATCTTGAAAGTTAAGCCAAATTGTGAACTAGTGATACTGGTACCTATCAGGCTATCACAGCAGAGAAACTTGTCAAAGTAAAATACATCAATGCCTTTTCTTTTCTTTTCAATCCTTTTGATTGAACATCAATGCTTAATTTTATTTTCATAAAATAATATAAGAAATTGATATATAAATGATAATAAAATTAGGGGTATTAACCCTTCACCCATCCTGATCATGTCGAGACAAATCTTTTCCTATCCAAAAAAAGTGAGATAAGACAAGATAAAAGATTGCTCTTGGGACGTCCCATCCTATATTATATTTATATATATGTATATAATTTTTTTAAAATTAGCACTAAATATAGTAATTATATTAATACAAGAATAAATTATATTAGTTAAACTTTCAGCATCTACAATCCCTACTTAAAATTAAAAAGTCTTGACACTTATAATTTTAATGACACAAAGCAAGCAATACAGGATAATATCTTTATTTGCAACATATTAATTATATTGATAAAATTTATTCTATATTTATATATTTAATAATTTTTATTTACATCATATTTATTACTTTGTTTTCAAAAGAATCAATAGTTTGAAATATTTTTACCAAAAAAGAAGAATAATTTTGGCTTATCTGTTTTTGTTGCTTTTGTAACTTAAGAGTTATTTGTAGTTATTGTCACGATATTGTGTCTTATGTATACTTTATTTATAGTTATAGCTGACTTTAAATCATTGTGATTTGTGTGCCCTATGTTATCTTGATTTTAAATTTAGCAAGTTATATGGTTTAATATTTTAATAAATGTTATTATCTAAATATTTTTCTCATGTTGTTTGCTTTATCGAGATGTTCTGATCTCTTCTCAATCTCATCTTGATTCCTAACAAAATAGGACATGAAAAAAGATATTTTCAATCATTTTTGAAAACGGAACATGAGATAAGAATGTCCTAATCTCGTGAATATCTCTAGATAGAGTTGGAGTCTGAAGTAGACGAATATCATAGACGCTATATGACTTGGGCCGGAGGCCTATTAATGAAACTCGATCTATCCATAAACTAAAGTTGAAAGCATATTAAAAAAAACTCATTAAATCTTAAATCATGACCATTGTTTTATTTTTAATACACAATAAAATTAATAAAGTTAAAAAACAACATGTTAAATAAAACAATTTAAATTATTCAAATAAAATAAGTAAATATAACTGTCACAATCTAAAATAATTTTAATAATTCTCTTCCAATCAATTGTTTTTGAATAGAAACTGGAAACTATATTAACAACCAAACAAAAAAAACAACAACAACAATATCAAGAGTTTACAAGATTAATCAACTTTTCATAACCCACCAACCCGCCTAAATGGAGGTGGAGGATAATTAAAAGTGCAAAAATTACCATGGATATCGTGCGATAAAAATATACAATGATTGCCATTCTCCTTTTTTTGGCCGAAATGATTGCCATTCTCGTAACATAATGCTTTATTGTGTTTCACAAATATAAAAATAAGAATATCATGGGCTGGGCCGTCGCATTGGCTTTCGAATTGCAAGCCTAGGAAACAAGGAATTGATGCTAGTTTTCCATTGGGAGAATTTTAATTAAACCAAAAAAGATGTGATTTAATTATTAATATATTTTTTAAAAAATTAAAATTTTATTCCAACTAAAGAGGATTGAAGAAAAATAATTTTAATAGTAAAAATATAAAAGTATCATTCACTTGTCAAATTTATCCTAAATACAGAATTATTAATTATTAATTTTATTACTTTATTCATTAATTTACTAATATGAATTGTAAATTATATAAATTAATTTGTCAATAATTATACAATATTTAAATATCAATTTTTTAATTATAAACAACAACATTAATTATTAAGTTATTAATTATATTTATTAATTTACTAACATCGGTCGTAAATTATTAAAAATCTTGTCATTTATATTTGATATTAATAAATTAATAATTAAAGTTAAAAAATTTATCATTAATGTTGCTGTTTGTCTGATAAATTAATGTAATTTAAAACTTATATTGACAATTAATAAATAAAATAAAAAATTAATAATTAATAATTTTTCATTTTGAATAAAATTAATAAGAAAAGAGTATTTTTATTTTTTATCAATAAAATTCTTTATATTTCAATCCTCTTCTAAATTTTTTTAAAACTTACCAGTAATTAAAACGTACCTCTAATTCTTAGTTAAAATTCTCCCAATTCCATTTTGTCCAATAAGTTTAATTTGCTTTTGGTATTGAGGAATCGAAATTCGAAAAGCGGAGAGTCACCGCTTTTTCCACTTTTCAAAAAAAAAAAAGAGAAAGAAAAGAAAACAAGAAGAAGAAGAATCCCACCAACTTCAGCATGTCATTTTCTGGGAAAGACACGTGGCATAATCAATTACGTGTTTTCTGGTGGCTTTCTCTCTCTTCAACCGTAACAAACCGCTTCTCCATGGCCATAAATAATGTTATTGTGCACTGGACGCTGCCACCCTGGTGCTGCCAAACCCGTTGCCACTAGTGGCTTTTCAAAATTTGGATTTTTCTTTCACTTTTCGGACCACCCTTCTCGTCTTCGTTTTTCTCAATTATATATAATTCCGATTCCGACTTGCTTCTCCATACCCATCTGCCTTCCCCCCACTCTCCCCGCGCCACGTTCACGGCAGACATTATTGGAAAGCTCGAAGGTGCGCATTGCGCACCCCAACCCTCTCCACTCGGTCATGTCATTTCTTAACTTGCCACCTTACTTTGTTGTGTCATAGTCTCCTCACAGGAAAGCTTCACACTTTCTTGATTCTTCGGACTCTGGCTGCTCCTTCCTGAAATTTCACTGCCCATTTTCGCGCTTCTGTCTCCTCCAAATTGTTTTTCAGATCCAGTTATTTTACTCGAATTTCAATCTTGAGCTGACATTCCTGGAAATAGAGCTAATTCCTATGGCGTTTCGCTTTGTGTTGTGTTTGTTACTAGCGAAAGGTCTGGTGGAGGGTATGTTTGGGCTCACATTTTCTTCCAAGCTGATACACGTATATTCCGACGAGGCCAAGGCCATCTGGGTTTCTAGAAGTAAGAATCTTTCGGCTGAATCGTGGCCCAAGAGGAATAGCTCCGAGTATTTCAGGTTGCTTCTGGGCAGCGATCTGACGAGGCAGAGGATGAAGCTGGGTTCGCAGTATGACTTTCTGTATCCTTCGGAGGGAAGCGAAACACTGTTCTTCGGCGATGACTTATATTGGTGAGTTGTTCGGCCTCTGGTTGGTTTCTGAGAAAATGCTGGAAAGAGAAATCCAAACAATGCTAGAATCTTTAGCTTTATATTTTATTCTACGACGGTATGGAATATCATCGACTGAATCAGTGAATTGAGCTAGTTGTTAAGCTGCACTGATCAAAAAAATTTCCTTTCCCTTTTTCTTTTTGTTTATACAGAACCTTTTTAAGTGTCACTCTGGCTAAATGGATATGCTATCAGAAAACCATTCTCTCCCTCCATCCCTCCCGCCCTCTCACTCAGTCATTCTCATTATAGCTAGTTTTCAACTTTTCATACCCTCTGGCACCTTTTTCTCAGTGCTATATTTTGTTTCGTTGTGAACGTTCGTGGTTTCACATACGGCTATAACTTAACCAGTAGATTTGCCATTTGCAATAGCAGCATGAGATTTTGTTAGAGAAAATAAAACGAAAATTAAGCTCGGCAGTGGCTTATCAATATGTGAAAGCTCCATTGTAACTGAGTTATGACTAATTGACATGCTGATCGTTATCTTTCTGGATATTCGATTGCTAATTTGCTTAAATATTTAAATCACAGCTGGTGTTTTGTGATTTTGTGAAGCACGGAGCCTAGCAATTTTTCAAACAGAAATGGAGTCCTTTATGCTAACAAATATTAAAGGGAATGGCCAAATGGCCCTCAAGGGGCATGCTAAGAAGTCAGTTTTCATTAAATAGTTAAACTATCAAGAAGGGAGGAGCTGGGGGCGGCGCAGAGGATGCTCAAGAAGGCTCACATATATTGACTTATTGCTTGTGGCTGTGGACTTTCAGGTTGCATTACACATGGATTGATATAGGGACTCCGAATGTTTCTTTCCTCGTTGCATTGGATGCTGGAAGCGATCTGCTCTGGGTCCCATGTGATTGCATAGAATGTGCTCCCTTGTCGGCTAATTATTATAATGGGCTAGTAGGTCTATGATATGAACTTCAAATTTTCTCTTTCTTTTTAATTTTGAATCTTGCCTTTGCAATTTAATATACTATTTATTATGTCATTACTGTTATGAACACCATAATGGCTCTAATGACCTCAGAGTCCTTTTCTTTTATAGTACACTATGACCTTGAACGGCTTATCTGTTATGGTAATCGTCTTTATGCCTTAATTCAGATTACTCGCTGGTGCAAGTAATATCAATAACTTTTTACATACACTTGCCTATTATTTTCGATGGCAGAATTTTATAAATTTTTTTTTTTGGAAGTATTTGTTTGTTGGTAGGATCAACCAGCCAAGAATTTGTTATAGCCTCGACAAGGTTAAGAGGGGGGATGCGCACTAGATTTCAAAGAATTTTTTATCTTCAATTAAAATTTCCTTTATATTTGTGAGTTTTTGGTACACGGTTCTGGAAAGACTGCGTCTGTTGTTTATACTCCTTCATAACATGTAGACTCAAAATTTCCAAGGGATATATACTTTATATGATCTTATTTGGATTTAAATAGTTCAGCTGAGAGTGGTAAGAAATTTAGCTGTTAATTTCAGTGATTGATTGGCAGATGCTCCCTTGTAAATGGGGGCATCTCTGATGCAGGATAGAGATCTGAGTGAGTATAGCCCATCATTGTCAAGTACCAGCAGACATCTGCCTTGCAGTCATCAGTTATGCAATCCAGTTGCCACATGCGAAAGTCCTAGGGAAGCCTGTTCTTATAATTCTAAGTACTACTCCGCAAATACCTCAAGTTCAGGACTTCTGATAGAAGACAAACTGCATTTGGAATCACATGGAAAACATGCTGCACAGTCTTCTTTGGATGCCTCAATCATTTTAGGGTATACTTAACTGTCTAAATCTGCCACTTTTTTGGTGTTTTGGGCTTAAAATATTGGGCAAGACTGGGAGCTCGTGATTCTATTCGTACCAGTGCCCAAGATAATTGATATTTTCAAATACAGTTGTGGCAGGAAACAAAGTGGTGAATATTTAGTAGGAGCCGCTCCTGACGGTGTCATGGGGCTGGGACCTGGCAGCATTTCAGTTCCAAGTTTGCTAGCAAAGGCAGGACTTATTAAGGATTCTTTCTCATTTTGCCTTAATGAGAACGATTCTGGAAGAATTCTTTTTGGCGATCAAGGGCATGCTTCCCAACAATATACTCCGTTCTTGCCAATTGATGGGGAATTGTATGTACTGTATAATGTCCTATGAAATGCTTATTGATTTTAGAATCTGGTTAATGTACTTTGCTCCTAAAAATGTTCCTAGTCTAGTTGGCATGCTAAGGATTTTAATTGCTTCAGTGCTGCTTATGTTGTTGGGGTGGAGAGCTTTTGTGTTGGGAGTTCCTATCTCAAGAAAACGGGATTTCAGGCACTCATTGACACTGGCACTTCTTTCACATATCTTCCTGATGAAGTCTATAAATTAGTTGTTTCAGAGGTAATATTTTTTAGGATAATTTTATGGTGCATAATCCTGCATGCTCTAGGCTAAATTTGATCTTCACTGTATGCAGTTTGACAAACATGTAAACGCATCCAGGGTTGTTCTCCGACAATACCCTTGGGAGTACTGCTATAAAGTCAGCTCACATGAGTTGGATAACATCCCAACATTGAAACTGACTTTTTCTAGGAATCAAACTTTTCGAATTCATTATCCAATGTATACTACTCCTTCCAACCAGGTAAGCTGACCTCTCAAACTATATGATTTCTTGGCTTGTACAAAAACTTGTGAACTATAACATTGCTAAAGAACGAAGTTAAAAAATATTAATTCTTGGCTTTTAACTAGGATCTAGGGTTTTGTCTGGTTATAATCCATATATAGTTGCTGTTACCTAGGCATATTTTCAGTACTTCCCTTGGCTGCAAAAAGACCTCGGTTGAAAGAATTAGCTTTGAAATATTTTCACGTAGTTTTTCCAACCTAAAAATTTTCAGTCTATATGGATCTTCTGCCCTGACATTTTAAGTCTTGTGCATAACATCGGTGGATAAGTCTTTTTTCGTTACTATGGAAATTGACATGGTATTCCGGTAAGTGAAAACACTTTACTAATAATTTTCTATTTCAGTAACTGACTAACATACAAACAAACGTCGAGTGCTTTACTTTTGATGCTGGCTGTTCTTGATGATACTTCACTGATTAATTTTGCAAATCTGCCTTGAAACAAGCTTTTGGCTTCTCTTTTCAACTTATCTTGATTTTTGCAGCAGAAAACTGTTTTCAGACAGCATGTCATTTGACTAACAAGTGCTTCTTGTAGAATCTTTTTATTCATCTTATTTATGATTTAAATAAAATCCCAAGTTTCTGGTGCAGGAATATACTATCGCTTGTTTGACTATAGTGCAGACCGACGACGACTATGGTACTATTGGACGTGAGTACTCTGTGCTCTACCTGTAATACGTGAAGCAAACAGCGTCTCCCTCCTTGCCCAGGGTCCTTTATTTTGTTTCATTCTTTGTCATTTGTATGATTTGTTCTTCTTTCTCCCACCCCTCAATCTCTAACAAACATGCACCTGTTAGCATCTGAATGGAAGTGCACAAACACATGCAGTCACACTCTTGTTCTTATAAATGATGGTTGATTGCGTTGGATTGGACTTTTTTGTGGCAGAGAACTTCTTGAAGGGTTATCACATGATTTTTGATAGGGAGAATTTGCGTTTTGGTTGGTCAAGTTCCAATTGTAAGTAGTACCTCTTACTTTAAACATTTATCTCAGAAGAAGTAATATAAGGAAGCTTGTCTTCTTCAGCAAGCTTGATTTTGCCCTGTTTACATGTTCCATTTTCGAGAGTCTCTGTACATGTTTGCTTGATGATAACCACGTGGAAGGTGCAGGTGAAGATAGCACGGGAGATGAAGCAAATTTTACTGCACCATGGCATGGTGGATCACCAAACCCTTTACCAGCCAATCAGCAGCAGAGCATCCCCAATACACATTCTGTGCCACCGGCTTTTGCTGGACCCACTTTGCCCAAACCTGCCGGAGCCCCACTCGGATGCATGACCGCTAGCCATTTTTTAAGTTTACTGTCACTTGTATGTTCCCTTTTGTTCTGGCTATCCAATTAGAAGTCTATCATATTCACCTGTAAATTGTGTTGTCCAGGCTCTCCTTTTCGTAGGATGTGTTGTATCTATTGGGGGTTGGTGAGGGACAGTGTGTTTTCTTCCGGTTTTAGGCCTCTGTAAAAAATTTTATTTCACTATATTATCTTATTCTATGGGTATAAGCTTTTACATCGAAGTATTGCTCTCATGTATAGATGGCTAAGGCAAAACATAATGAACCTAAATCTTGATTATCCGTGCTTTTCTGTGCATGATAGAGGCTAAGCTACGTTATAATGCCCTTTATTCACATATAATATGATCTTGATCATAGATTACTTGTTTGTGTTGACCTTTGCATTAAATTAAAGGAGCAAGCAATTACAAGGAATCATGCTACTTAGTTGCCTTGGAGCTCTGTGTAAGGCAGTTATTTTCCAACTTGTCTTCTCTTTACTAATTTTCTCTCCACTTTTTGTTTTTTGTTTTTTGTTTTTTTGTTTTTTTAGCTTACTATCTCAACTCTCAGATCAGTTTTTGAATGGTTATGGTTCAATATTTCATAAATTTATTATTAAAATGAAAAACTATAAAAGATAAATTAATACATTTAAGATATAACAAAATTGACCTAAATTGCAATTCAAGATTTAAGATTGTAGTTAAAAAATAAAAATTTTATAAAATGTTAAATCCTAACCATTAAAGAATTGATGCGAGTGTTGAGATGGTAAATGGGGAGGAATTGGAGAATAGATAAATGTAAAGAAGCCAATTCAGTGCTTTTTTGGTTTTGCTACGTAATGGAGCCGGGTTTTAAAATTCCAACAGCAGAGGCTGCCCGTAAACATAGAAAGCTAGAGTAGTGCTAATAACCAGTAAACATAGAATAATACAAATATTTACATGCTAACTTCTTAAAGAAATTTTGTCCGTGTCTGTGAAATGTATCAGATGATTACAATTTCCAAGCGTCGAGGCCATTGAATAGTGCTAATAATCAGTACAGCAGATTAGCTGTGGTTCTTGTGCGTTAGGATACAAAGAAACTTGATATTGACCACTTGTTCTGCTTACAAATCTAGAACAGAAAATGTACTATAATGACCAGAAACTCGTTCAATTTAAAGCGATTTTTCAATTTTGCGTTATGACTCCTATCTTGAATCCTTGCCCGCCATATCAAGATAGTACAGACTAGAATTTAAAGAACTGTTACTTCCCCTCTAAACGTATCATTTCCGTACGGTTCGAGCTAAGTTGCGCGTACAATGAAACGCGCGTGTTGGATTTCAAACTACTATTACGTGGATTTTGCAGCGAATGCCAAATCCCTTGGCTACTGTCTGCATGACACAATCCACTCTTTGTCATAACGTCGGAGGATCTAAGGGTAGTTTGAACATTGTACCTGCGTTGACTCCGAAACTTCATAAATTCACACGCCATCATAATACTGTTACTTTACTATTAATATATTATTATTGCATAATGAGTATAACTAAGGCCCCTCTAGATATAGTGGAAGAATTTTTGATAGGATTAAAATTAAAATTAAAATTAAAATTAAATTAGATTATAAAAGTTTGTTTGATATAGATATAAAATTCTGATATAATTTTAATAATTATATATATTTAAAATAACATAAATATCAAAATGCATCTTGCTAAAAAAAAGTCGCAGCACACCTCTCCTCCCACTAGCCACGAGTTCAACGTTCATCTGTAAATCTGCTTCAACAACCTCAACCCACATACAAGATTTTGATATAAATCACAAGATTTGCGAGATTTTTTAAAAACATAAACAATATTGGAGAGATTTTAGATTTGCAAGAGGCATATCAACCCATCTTTTCCTCATCCTCAAGTCGCTACAGATCTACTTTTGGAATGCCATGGAGGGACAGGGGAAGAGAGAGAGGGAAAGGGGGGAGAGAGAGAGAGAGGAAGGGGGAAGAAGGAGATGTCGTGAGTGGTGGCCAGTGGACAAGAGCCTCCACAAGCTCGAGCACTTGCAGATAAGCAACGCCGTCTTGGGTGAGCGCTGCCATGACCGACTATGATCTCTTCTCCATCCTCAAGTCGCTACAGATCTACTTCTCGAATGCCATGGAGGAAGAGGGGGAGAGAGAGGGAGGGAGGGGGAAGAGGGAGATGTCGAGGGCAGTGGCCAGTGGACAGGAGCCTCCATGAGGTCGACCAACTGCAGATGAGCAATGCGCTCTTGGGTGAGCGTTGCCATGATCGACAATGACACCTGCCTCGACGGGTTGAGCCCTATCCATGACTTTGTTGTTCGCGAGATAAAGCACAAGATCAACCAAGTGTCGCAGGTCACCTGCAACTCCTTCTATATGATCGACGACGAAAAATGGGAGCAAATAATGGGGAGGTAGAGACATCTCAAAACAACAATTATGTGAAATTGGACCGATTTCATGGTGATAAAGATGGAATTGAATTCCAGCAATTTTGCTGGAATTGTAATTCGCAAGAATCTCAACTCTAGACTATCAAACACTTAAACTTAGATTATGTTTCCATTTTTATTTTTAAATTCATGATTCATAGATATCAAATGAGGCTTGATTGTTAATGGTCGAGCTTTGAGATCAAAATTAGTAATAAGAAACAAGCAAGATATTTGAATGGCTATCAAGTTATATATTAGACATCTTTTTGAAACACAATTTAATTTACTTTATAAATTATTAATTAATAAAATTATTTTATTTTAAATTAAAATTTTTAAATTATTCTTAAAAAGTAAGAGATAGTAAAAAAATAATATTATATATTTTTTTATTTTTTATTTTTTATTTAAGGATTATGTGTACAATTTCATTTGCTTTTTATTCATCATACTTTCATTAAACTTGTACCGATAAGATTAGTAAAAATAATTTATAAATGAGATAAAAGAGTATCTTATAATTCATTGTTCTCTGTCTCATGTTTATTGTGGAATGGACCTAGAAGTTTGGAACCGTTGTGCATTAAAACATTTAAAAAGACGTCCTCCTAATTTGATTGGGATTAAATTTCCTTCTTTTAATCCTTTGACGGCGATCTAAATTACAATTTTGTGATGCCTTCTCTGTCAACAATAGATTTCCCTTATCTCGTTATAAATTACAAACATATAAAGAAATGAAATTGCTTTGATAAAGAAATGAAGGGGACAACCTCATTTTCATAGATATGTCACCAATGAAATTGGTACTACAAATTAAAATGCCCAAAGACGGTTCTTTTCAATCCTTACCAAACCCACTGTTGCGATTTTGTTTATATTCTTAACATGTCTTTCCTTGCACCATGCTCCTTCAATTCAATTCAATATATAAGTTACTTTTTCATAATTTAATTTACTTTATAAATTATTTATTGATAAAATTATTTTGTTTTAAATTAAAATTTTTAAATTACTCTTAAAAAGTAAGAGAGAGAAAGACAGAAAAAATAATATTATATAATTGACTTATTTTTTACTTTTTACTTGAGAGTTATGTTTAAAATTTTACTTACTTTTATTCATTATATTTTTATTGTATTGGTATTGATGAGATTGATAAAAATAATTTATAAATAAGATAAAAAAAGTATTTTTTTCTTCTCTCTCTCTCTTCATTTTGTTGTGACGCGCTAACCACGAGTCCACAACCACTCCAATGGCCAAAACATAGCTTGACAAGTGGTCAAAATTTAGAGGTATAATTTAAATTTACAAGTCTTATAATGTATAACTAGCTCTATATTGAAATTTCAGGGATTCACATTTAGTGTTTATCAAGAGATGAGCACTATAATATTTATCATCTTTGATAAAATTTAAATTATTTTACATTTATTAAAATAAAAAATAATAAAAAGTATTTAAAATTTTTATTTGTCTGCTTTTTACCAATTGAAAAGGTATAGATTTAATTTGAATAATTTAAATTTAATATTAAATTTACTCGAGGCAACCCAGATTTAAAACTTTTAACTTACATTTTCTTTTAAATTTTTTAAAAGTTAGAGTTAAGCTTTTTTTTAATATTTTATTTATAAAAAAATATAAAAATTTAATATTAAATCTGAACTATTTAGAATATATTTAGATAATTAATTTATAAATATTTTAATATTAAATTAGCTTTTCAAATTAAATATGCACTGCCTATATTCATGATAAATATATTTATTAAAAAAGTTATAAATTTATATTTTACAAGTATAAAAAAGGTTAAATTTAGATTATTTAAATTAAAAATCTCAATGATTTATATCTTTTCAGGGTGATTACCACAGGACCCAATTTCAGGTGCCCACTGACTTTCCTCTCAGATTTCGTCTGTGTGTATGTATATATATATTGAGTAAATGGGCAATTTCATTACTCATAAGAACACTGTACAATTAAAGGCAAAATAGGGGAAAGCAAAGAACTACAGGCTATCCGTCAGAAAATTAAATCAGAGATTTCAATCAGATTTCGTGTACTTGAAGCGTTGAACTACTACTCCCTTTAACTCGTTGATTGCTGAAATGTTGACGAGACCTGGGTACCATTTTATTTTTCTTTTTGAAGAATGGCAGAATTTAACAATGCTTATCTCTTAAAATAGAGTTATTTTTTAATTTAATTCTGTTTTTACTGGCCTGAAAAATCTCTACGTGGAAATGTTAATTAATTTGGATTCAATTTTCAATTTTCATCTTATTAACCTCACACTTTAATTTCATCGCAATTATTAAAAAAGAAATCGAAATGTTGAATTTGGAGGCAAAACCATTAGACATGGGCATTGGGAGACGGACGGTTTATTCAAGAGGATGCTAAGATGACAGTTAGAGGAGCTCGTATATACGTCTAGGGGCGCATGGGAGCAAACATTCATCATCAGCCTAGTACTTGAGGAGGTTTTCGTCTTTTAAAAATAACTAGATTAGCTCCCGGGTGCTGCACAAGTTTTACATGACACAATTATATGAAGAATCTAAGGCATCTACAATTAGAATATGGGGCACATCCATAAAAATGTCCCCTTCTTTATTTCTTTTGATAATATTTAAATGTTAGTATTTTCACTTTAATGTTTAAATGATTTTTCAATGTCAAGTTGCTCATTTCTTTTGTTTCCATAACTCCATTTAAGAAATTGTCCAAAAAATCTATTTTTTTTAATATCTAGCTTTTATGATAATATTTATTTATATATTTTCAACATAATTTTTCCAACAATGCTTCCTCTAAATTTTTCTTACAATTCTGATAGTTAGATGTAATTATTTAATTTTTTTTATTTGAAATGTGTCCATAATTAAGTTTTTAAACAATTTTCTATTTAACATACATGATGGCAATGGAATAATGTTTTTCTTCAAGACGTAGGAAATAAATTCAGGAAAATGTAACCTCACCATATCATTATAGGAAAGAAATATTTATTTACTCATCTCTGAAGATATTTTTTCCTTCATCTAGATTATCTTATCAGGGAGCTGAAATAATCATATTATGATGTTAATTTAAGCATTAACCATGCTCGTATTCCAGTTGAGAAACCAATACTTGGAAACTAAGCAAGTTGGTAGAATACAGTAGTTGACAGGATTAAACACTATGCATTTCTCTTACACGTCCATTCTAAAAACATTCACGGTGGAGCTCTTCAGATAAATTTGTTGTTTTGGTTTTCCCCCTTTATTTAATCTCATGTTTAGGGAGCCATTTTTTGAGAAAACACGTTACCTATTCTCCTTGTCGGTGTTGGAATCAAATGGACACACCCATTGTTTTCTCAATGAATCACGCACCGAAGTTAGAATAGCAATGTCTATTATTCAAGTTTACGAAATCATGCATGAATCAGACCTGAGTCAGATATTTTATCTCAACTATATTCTTATGGATAGAGAGGTAATAGCATACAACAATGATTTTAATGTATGAATTATTTCATTCTAACCAAAAAAAAAAAAAAGATTTATCTTCTAGGTAGTTGTATTATATCTGTTATCTTTAACATGCAGAAATATGAAAATATGCAAAAATACAAAAATACCTGGAATCACTTATATCAAGCAATGTGCTCTGGTACTTTGTTTCCAAGAACCAATGCAATTTCCAAATAAGCATTATATTAAATAAAGAGAGAGAAATGTTAGCAGCCAAACACAAATATTAAGGAAAACTATTTCAACCTGCTAAAAGGCTGCAATTTCGCACATATGAATTTTAGAAATCATTTTGGAATCAATAAAAGTTTTGTCAACTGAATCCAGGCCAGAGTTTATGATAAACATTTGGCAAAGATTCTGCATCATAAATCAAAGACAAATTATTCGTCAATTAGATCATAACAGATGCTCATCAACCAAATTTTCTAAAAAAGCTAGTATCAATCTCCAATTTAAAAAATCCAAAAATGTACAGCAAGAAATTAAAGTGGGATTGCTTACCTCAGGGTAATTATCTCCATCAATCTTTTGTAATCCCATTATAAGTTACCCGGCAGACTTTGTAAAGTTCTCCAAGCCCTGATAATAGATGTCATAAGAAATAATTTCACATGCAACTTTAACATGGAATAATTGTTGGAAACTTACCATGCCTTGAACATCTAAGATTGTGGTGCTTGAATCTATATGCCTCTTGGCAACAATAGCGTAGGCATGCAGGAAACTTAATTGCAAAGATTTTCTCACACTCTTGGACATGGTACTTTACACATATATCCAAAGATGTCACTTGCATAAGTTTATTTGTTTGGATCAACCTTTCTAAGTCTTTCAACATAAAGTGGTCTTCCCTCCTTAACAACACCATGATGACCAGAAGGGTAATACTCCAGAACATCATTTAACTCCTTGTACTCAAAATCCTAATTAAAACAAAACATTAAACATGAAGGGTGTATAAAATATCAAGCACTCAAAGTTCGTGTCTTATCCCCTAAATTTTTATAAGCGGAAGTCAAGTAAATATTTTGCACATAATGTCTATATTACCTCCATAATAGTGTCACCACCAAAATCTTTCATCCATCTGAGAGCTTGAATTTGGAAGGCGTATTAATTGCTTTCTTTTCAAAAGAACCATTTCTTATCCGTCATTCATCTCGTGAGTTCTCAAAATCAGATCTCCTATCCCATTTTTCATCACTTCCAGAGAATCCCTCAACGCCTAGAAGCATTATACTAACATAGAATAAAATGTATGAAACAAATCATTTTGAAACAGTATGAAGCAAATCTTCATATTTCCTTTTCGAATGCTGACATCAAATCAAACTCATGTCCTGAAATGGATCTTAATTCACAAGCAACTGAGGGTTGACAGCATCAACAGAACTTTCTTAAAACTAATTTATAACCAAAACAAAAAAGAATTCATAAGATATTCAATGAAGCAACTATTTCATTTAACAAAATTGCAAGATGACATTATTATGATCCAACACTTTAGAACATTGAATGAGAAAAAAGAAGAAGCCGAGAAAATTCCTCAACCTTTTGATGGTGTTTCTTGCCATGATTGGCACTGGAAACTTGATGACTACTTTTTTCTTTCCTTTTATCCTTGTCTTTATCTTTGCTTCGGTCTTTATGACGACACTTGTGCTTCTTATGCTCCTTGTCCTTCTCTTTGTCCCTGTTCTTATGCTTGTTATGCCTTTTCTCCTTGTCTTCAGACTAACTTTTTCTCCTTGTCCTTCTCAGTAAAGGCTTATTATTGTCAGTGTGCCCCTATGATTTAGTGATATTTCAAAGTAGGCATTTTCTTAACAAAATGTAAGTGCATTAATTGTGAGGGATCATAACCACAAGCTACCCCACCATAAACAAAATGACATGCCTTTGCTGATCCCGTTGCTTCCTCCTGCCAGATCAATCACTATTCACCACTCCTCCCAATATGCATGAAATTGATGATTTCCGATGATCAAACCCAATAACACTAAGTTAGTAGAGGTGATTAAATCAACATGCAATATGCAATTTCTAACAACTAAGAGAGGAAAGAAAAAATCATCAACATTGCCTCAACAATTCCAAAATGATAAAACAAAAAGACTTACCAGTGCAACTTTGTCCAGGAGACTAACTTCCAGCACAATGTTCCATGCGATTAATAGCATCTAGCACATGTTCCAACAAAATTGCAAATGAACTTCGTCTGCTAAATTATTGAGTTAAAAAAGAAGAAGAATGATTCATACAGTTCGTAGCTTTCACAATGTTCCTGATGCATGAAAAGGACAGACAGATCCATAGGACCTGCTGTGAGTATTTTGTCCCGCATTGAAACGGAATTTTCAAGTGCAGTTGGCGGATCCATGGGATTTTGTTTAAATTAAACATGAAAGCTTAGCAGTTGAGCAACATAATCTATTAAAACATAGTAAAGCGAGTTGAAATCTGTTTTTTCAAAGACAGGTCTTGAACTTTGGGTTCCCCCCTTCTGAACATATGTATTAAAGCAAGAAAGAGACAATGAAAAAAGACTAGGGATTTAAATGAAACAAGAGAGACGAAGGAAGCAGAATACATACCAGTTCACATGATTTAGAAACAGAAACCTCTGCAAGATTTAGAAATCTTCTCCAAATGCTACACCAGAGAATAGCCACTAAGAGTTCCATCACCAATAACCATATCCTGATTACCATCCCCACTCATCGATTTGGATATTACCATTGTTCATTTCTTCACCCTCGATATCACATTCTTTAGATTTGCCAAATAAAGCTCACCACCGAACTCAATTTCAAAACAACTTTTGCTCAGCATTTGCTCAAATAGAAAATTGTGTAAAATCGTAATAAGCAGCCGCAAATACCAAAGTAAGTGAAAAAAAGAAGAAGAAGAAACATAGAGTCGGAATCATCACTGTTCGTCCTGAGTGCCAAAGGAAATGGGATAGAGTGGCTTTACCTCGTTAAATGGCTCCAACGGCTGTCGCTGATGAAGATAAGGTCCAATTGGTGTGGGTGTTGGAAAGACGATAAGGGATGAGAAAATAACAAGAGAAAGTGTAGAGATTAAGGAGGTTTCAGGCGATCGTGAACATGGGGAAACCAAATAACTTCAGAATAAAGAGATCGGAAATACACTTGTGAAATATCAAAAATGGAAAACAGATGGCCAATATAACTTTAATCATTAACCTGCGCTCTCATTCTGGCATGGATTCACAAGACACCTCTGTAAATGCTCCCAAGAAAATCGCAATGCATTAATATCAAATTTGAAAATTGGAGGGAGTGGGCACAGCACATAAAACCATAAAAAGGATGGGAAAATATTCAATGAAACGAACGAATCACAAAGCACAATTAACCTTAAACCAAGCTCGATAACTAAAAATTTGAAAATTGAAAATAAAACCCCTGATAACTGGACACAGTTAACATTGAATATGGATGAAAGCAAATAAGCGGGATATATGCAAATTGAATTTGAAAGAGAGATATTGAAAAAAAAAATTAAAGTAGAGTGACCAATGAGATTCAAGGATTTTTGAATCAATCAACTTCTTTAATTCACAAGATTTTATATTATGTAATTGATTGATTGATTGATAATTAATTTTTTTTAATTTAAAAAGAACATACAAATCAAAAAAGATTACAACTGATAAGAGTTACGCCTGATCACTTTTATCATTCATTGCCTCTTGAATTGGGGGTGGTGAATGACCAAAGAAACAAAAATTGACTTCTAACTTATGAGATAGTCTAACTAAGAATTCTGAATACAAATTAGACTCTCTCTATATGTGCTCAATAGATAAGATCCAATTCTTATGGTACAAAAGCATAACATCTTCAATGATATGTTTAAGAGCTAGATTAGGATCAGGATAGAGTAAACACAAGCACAGAATACTAATTTCTTGTCATCACTATAGCGTACTCCTTTCAATTCTATTTATAATCATTTCTACCAATCTCATTATTACCAATACAACAAGAATATAAAAAATAAAAGCAAGTGAAATTTTAATATAACCCTTAAATAACAAGCAAACAAATAATATAATATTATTTTTTATCTTTTTTTTTTACTTTTCAATGGTAATTTAAAAATTTTAACTTAAAATATAACAATCACATCAATTAATGATTTATAAAGTAGATTAAATTATGTTTTTAGAAAGTGATTAATATGAGTATTTTGATAAACAAAAAATGCAGAGCATGGGAGGAGCTGAGCTCAAGGCCAAGTGCCTTCTTCTTGCTTGTCACCGTCCTGTCCTTTCTTTCATGTGTTACGCATACGTATTTGTATGATTATCGTTGTTCACTACTGTTAACATGTTGCTGCTATTTTAAACGAGAAAGCTGCTAGCTAGATTACTTCGTCCACCATTTTCTATAGTTCTAGCTACCCTGGTCTGTTCATAAATCTTCCATGCTAGCTGCTACTAATTTGCGAATCGAGAGAGAAGGAAATGGGTGTTCAAGGCACTTTGGAGTACTTGTCGGATTTACTCAGCAGCGCCAAGAAGAAGAAAAAGAAGCAAACCCAGGTCGTATGTCACGGGCTGAGAGTCTGGCGCAGCACATGGCGCCCGTGCGGCGTCCTGGAGGACCCCATAATCCTCAGGACAAGCCTTACCACAAACGAATCACACTGGTTTAGCCCTGCCATAGGCTCATCAGGGAGGCAGCACTAGCCCCCGACCAGTTGTGCACTTAGCCCAAAGACTAAGGCAGAACGCACCCAATGCCAATGTTGCCCCCTTTACCCATATTGTGTGAGGCTAACCAGCGAATCATTCATTACATTGGTCTCTACACGATCACGAAAATATCATCCGTGACATTCTCCCACACCCAATCTAGCACTCCCTCGTGCTAGGGGAGAAAGACTCTGCCCAAGGATCACACGTACAGTACTGCCACAAACACATCAGCTTACTGCTGAATGGCCACCCGAGTCCTGCACTCTTCGAACCCATTAGCACCCGCGAGCCAACAGGAGTGGAGTCAACCACGGCTAACTTTCCTGCCCGAGTCCTTATTTTTAGACCTACCTACACCTCGCAGGCCTTCTGGAGCGGTGCCGAGATCAACTAGTCCCAACGTGGGACTCTACAGGCACACAGCAATAAAGTACGTCCCGCTCTGATACCACTCTGTCACGGGCTGAGAGTTTGGCGCAGCACACGGCACCTGTGCAGCGTCCTGGAGGACCCCATAATTCTCAGGACAAGCCTTACCACAAACGAATCACACTGGTTTCGCCCTGCCATGGGCTCATCAGGGAGGCGGCACTAGCCCCCGACCAGTTGTGCACTTAGCCCGAAGACTAGGGCAGAACGCACCCAATGCCAATGTCGCCTCCTTTACCCATATTATGCGAGGCTAAGCAGCGGATCATTCATTATATTGGTCTCTACACGGTCACAAAAATATCATCCGTGACACGTAGCTCTCAATATCAGAATGGACTGTGAAGGCTGTGCACGCAAAGTGAAGCATGTTCTCTCCATGCCTCAATAGTTTGAATTTCCCCTTCAATATTTTGCAATGATGTTTTTGCATCAACTTGGTGTTTGTGAATTGCGTGCAGAAGCTAAGTTGGTGGAGGTAGACCTGAAGAAATAGAAAGCGATAGTGACGGGATATGTGGACGTAAAGGAAGTGCTGAAGGCTGCTGAACCGACGACGAAGAAGATAGTGTAGTGGCCCTATGTTCCATTCAATCTGGTGGCTCATCCTTACGTAGCTCAGGCCTATGATAAGAAGGCACCTCCTAATATGGTCGAGAGAGTTCCTAATCAGCCACCATATCTGAGACCAACATGCATGGACGACAAATACACCATATTGTTCAGCGATGATAACCCAAATGCTTACTCCATCATGTAAGGAAATGCACACTTGCACCTTCATGTAAAATGGTTGCTTAATTCTAAGCGAGGTTCTTGAAAACCATTGACTTACAAGTAGAAAGTGAAAAACCGTGTTGCTTTGTATAAAATTTAACTGAACACTAGATTGACATTAATAAATTGAATTTGCTTATGCGTACTCGCCCATCTGACTCCAGCACTGGGATAAGATATGGTAATTACAATTACATACTCATGACAAAATATCTTTTTTCTAATATAGAGGCTTAAAATTACCTCTCACTTGAATAGAGCAATTAAGGTGCTCTCAAAACTTTTTTTGTTTTTGCTTTTTAAAAATAGAAACATCTTAGAACTTTTTTTATTTTTTTATTTTTAAAACATATATTACATAACCACCATTATGCTACATCCAATTTCTATTATAGAACATCTTTTAGTATAATTATTTAATATTTAATCCTTGATATAAAACATTTGGTGGGGTTTTACATTTTTTTTTCAACATTTCTCTTACTTGAATTCATTAACTATGAATGATAATGTAATATAGATTTGAATTTTTTTTATTTAAATAAGAGTGGAATCAAAAATTTATTATAATTTTTGGACAAAGCTAATGACTTAATCACATTTCTTTAGATTTGATAAAATAGTTAAAAATGTCTTATAATAAAGATTAAAAGAAGTAGGTCATTACCATTTACCATTACCAACTATCACTATAGGTCCCTTTTTAATTTTAAAATTGTTTTCAAATAACATAATCAAACAAATTTTCATTTTATCTTTTTTAGAAAAAACAAAGTTTAAAAATTAATTTACAAAATAATTTTAAAAATAAAAAATGAAAACAAAACCAAACAATTTTTTTAAGTTATTATAAAATTTTAAATTTTTTTTCTATCTCTTACATAGAGAGACCTTAGACGGATATACTATATAAAGTAAAACATATTTGGTTGGACTAATTGACAGTAAAACATATTGCAATGGTAAATTGGTAATATTTATTACACTTTTGGGGGGGGGGGTAATAGACATTCATAAGGGAGAGGCTATAAATGTTCATCGCGCACATGCAATCTCCCGGAAAATATTCATTTCTGTGAAAAAATATAAATTGTCCTTAACTTTTTTTGTTTGTGCCCCAACATCTTTGGAATCCAGACATTCTCCCTCCCTCCATGGAACTTGACTTCTCTTCATCTTTTTTTTTTTTTGCTTTCCATCTCAATCATTGAATCTATTTTTAAATGGATGAGATTTGATATTTTATAAAATTATTATTATTATAAAAATAATCAGAAATTTTAATCTTCCAAAAAACTCCGCCTATGTTTATAGCCGGTTCTAAACCCGGGTAAAGGAGGAGGGTTGTGTTAGGCCATCAACAGCCAATGTAAAACTTTGTTGAATCTATCATGAACATGGACAATAGACGTTATAATGTTAATGCTAGGTCGTTGCCCGTAAGTAACACGCTGCATGGCTCGAGTACAGTGATAAGTGAGTTAGAGCCGCTGCATCGGCGCCCGGATGTAATGTTAAATGAGCAAGGGTTACCGTGTCATTCTGGACGCACGCGGCTAAAGAAGTTAGTCCATAAGAGCAAAATTAGATTTGGTACTTGGAATGTTGGGACATTAAATTGTGAATCTATAGAGATTGTAGAGGTTATGATTCAAAGAAAAATCAATATCCTTTGCCTGCAAGAAACAAAATGGCGTGGAGAAGAAGCTAAGGATATTCAAGGTTTCAAACTTTGGTATACAGGAAAAGTAAGTGCACGCAATGGAGTAGGCATCATTATAGATAAGGAGTGGAAGAAGAACGTAGAAGTTAGCAGAATTGAAGACAGAATTATTTCCTTAAAAATGATAATTGGACGTGAGACTGTTAATATTGTTAACGCTTATGCACCGCAAGTCGGGACAGAAGCCAGTCTTAAGGAATTATTTTGGAAGGATCTGGAAGGGTTGATTCGACATATACCACAGAGTGAAAAGATTTTTATTGGAGGAGACTTTAATGGGCATGTTGGGAGGGAAGCTGGTCAGTATGCGAAGGTGCATGGTGGTTTTGGTTTTGGAGAGCTAAACAATGAAGGACAAACTCTTCTTGATTTCTCATTGGCGTATGATTTTAAGATTGCCAACACTTGTTTCAAGAAGAGAGATGAGCATCTCATCATTTACAAAAGTGGAGCCTCAAGGTCACAGATTGATTTTCTTTTGGTTAGGAACACAGATAGAAGACTTTGTAAAAATTATAAGGTAATCCCCGGAGATGCTGTAACGACACAACATAGGGTCCTAGTCCTTGATGTGTGTATTATGAGTAAAATCCAAAAACGTCGACAAGTAGTAACACCAAGGATTAGGTGGTGGCAATTAAAAGGTGAGAAGCAAGACATTTTCAAGCGAAATCTTTTGGATAAAGGAATTTGGGAATTTCAGGGAAGTGCTAACATCATATGGGAGGATATGGCTAAAAAGATACGGGAGGTTGCAAAAGTAGTTTTGGAAGAATCGAAAGGTTCTGGTCCGAAAGATAAAGAGTCTTGGTGGTGGAATAATAGTGTAACGACAAAATCAAGTATAAGAAAAACTGTTTTAAAGCCATACATTTGTGTAACAATGAGGAAAATTGAGAGAGGTACCGTATGGCTAAGAAGGAAACTAAGAGAGCTGTGGGTGAAACTTGTTCTAAAGCTTTTGAAGAATTTTATAAGAACCTTGAGACGAAGGAAGGAGAGCAAAATGTTTATAAGATTGCCAAGAGTAGGGAAAGAAAATCAAGAGATCTAGAACAGGTAAGGTGTATTAAGGATGAAGAAGGAAGAATTTTAGTTACAAATGATGAAATTAAAAATAGATGGGAGACTTACTTTTCTAAACTTTTCAATGATGGAGAGGATTCATCTAGTAACTTGGAGGATTGAGTAACTGGTGAAGGAGAACAAAATTTGTCATTCTATCGAATAATACGTGATAAGGAGGTAAAGGAAGCTCTTAAGAAAATGGCAAATGGTAGAGCCAACGGACCTGATTGTATATCTATCGAAGCGTGGAAATGTTTAGGTGAAGAAAGGGTGAGATGGTTAACTAAGTTATTTAATGTGATTTTATGGTCCAAGAAAATGCCTGATGAGTGGAGGAGAAGTACATTAATTCCTATTTATAAAAATAAAGGAGATATTCAGAATTGTACTAACTATAGAGGGATTAAACTCATGAGCCACACAATGAAATTGTGGGAGAAAGTAATTGAGCACAGGTTGAGATTGGAGACAAGTATTTTTGAGAATCAATTTGGTTTTATGCCAGGTAGATCAACTACAGAGGGGATTTATCTACTAAGGGGATTAATGGAAAAGTATCGTTGTAAAGATAAAGATCTACATATGATTTTTATTGATTTGGAAAAAACTTATGACCGTATACCAAGAGAAGTGCTTTGGAAAGCGTTGGAAAAAAAAAGAGTACGGATTGCTTATATTAAAGCCATACAAGATATGTATGGGGGGGTAAAAACTAGTATAAGAACACCTAGTGGTCAAACAAAGAATTTTCCTATAAAGATTGGACTACATCAGGGATCATCTTTGAGTCCTTATTTGTTCAACTTGATTTTAAATGTTTTGACGGAACATATTCAAGAGAAAATCCCAAAATGTATGCTCTTCGCGGATGATATAGTTCTTATAGCAGAGACAAGAGAAAAGGTTAATTGTAAATTTGAGTTATGGAGGAGGACATTGGAGTCGAAAGGTTTTCGTCTGAGTAGAAGTAAGACGGAATATTTATATTGTAAATTTGGTAAAGGAATATTCAACAATAATTTGGAAGTGAAATTGAGAGATCAAATTATACCTCAAGTGGAAAAGTTTAGATATTTGGGAGCCATTATTCAAAATGATGGCGAAATCAGTGGAGATATTTCACATAAAATTCAAGCTGGGTGGTTTAATTGGAGAAAAGCTAAAGGAGTTATTTGTGACCATAAGGTGCCTAATAAACTTAAAGGAAAATTTTATCACACTGCTATCAGACCAGCAATATTATATAGTAGTGAATGCTGAGCTCTAACGGGACAGCAAGAGCATAAAGTTAGAGTAGCAGAGATGAGAATGTTACAATGGATGTGCAGACATACACGTAAAGATAAAATTCGAAATGAGCACGTACGCGAAAAAGTGAGGGTGGCACCTATTGAGGAAAAAATGATAGAAAATCGGTTGAGATGGTTTGGGCATGTACAAAGAGGACCAAGGGAGGCACCAGTGAGACGAGTGGAACATATAACTTTGACTCCGATTAAGAGAGGTAGAGGAAGGCCTAAGAGAACACTCTTGGAAGTTGTTGAACGCGATCTCTTAATTAATAATATTCCTAAAAGCTTGATAAACGATAGAGCACAATGGCGTCTTGCAATCCATGTAGCCGACCTCACCTAGTGGGATAAAGACTTGTTGTTGTTGTTGTTGTTGTTGTTGTTGTTTTAATCTTTCAAAAAAAAAAATGTTCCACCAAGGCTATACACAAGCACTTAACCCCTCAAGGACGGCCCAGCCTTTTCCTATTTCAAACTTAGTAGATTCTAAGCATAAAGTAACATCAGTATTCACTAAGACAGTAACATATGAAAATGGACCCAGAAAGAAGGTAACAACAGAAACATTAGAAAGCCTGAAACTGAAATGCAATACAAGAGCGGATTAATACTTCACAGGAGAAGCCTCTAGGGCATGAGTAGTTTTGAGTGACTGAAAATCAACCTCAGTAAAGTGAGTTATCAAACACCCATGGTTCATGCCGAAACAGCTCCCGGCCATTCATTTGGATTATTCCAGCCGCAATATCCTCTGCACGTTTCCTGGATGCTTCAGCTTTTCTGGCAGATGCAGCGGCATCCTGCAAGAAGCCAGGTACATATCAACAATAAGGGTAGAAAAAAAGTTCCCTGCAAAACAGTAAGTATAACGTGCTTTGGTATGTTACTCTCATTGACAGGAATCCTTGGTCTAGGCATCCAATAATTTATAATTCGCAAGAGAAAGAATCTCAAGTTGTAAATCACTAGGCAAAGTATCCATTCACTAATCAATTCTAACCTACACAATATGGAAATTGATAAAGAAGTTTCAAACCAAACATACACTTCCAATTTAAGATAATCCTTCATTATTTAATAAAGCTTTTGTCTTAGTCTTATAGAACAAGTTAAAGCAGGAGACGTAAGAAATCCTAGTTGAATAATTCTGCATTCTTTTTTTTTTTGGCCTTTTTTCAGGGTCATCACTAAGATATACTAGTGCTAGCATTAAATCATGGTCAGTCGCAGGAGCACGAAATCTAGCCCCTCAAGTTCTTGGGCTTTAGGCCAGTGTGGCACGCAGCAGGCAATTTGTTTTTGGGAGAATCACATCCAAAGACCTAACAAGAAAATTATTTGTAGACAATAACTAATACAGAATGGATGGTTGTTAAAATGGAAACATGAACTTGTTTTTTTTTTTTTCAAATAAAACTTGTTATTAGTCTTTGTTTGCAAATAAATTTCTTATCATGTCATTAAATGTTATTCTTCCCCTGTTTTTCCTCCCCAAACAGAATATTTGATTACACTGAGAATTCTTACAACTGCATTAGTTATCAGCCACTTAAACCAAGTTCAATGAAAATCTACAAAGATTTTAAATACACAATCATAAAAACAACAGGAGAAAGCTAGCTAACTCGTGCGCTTTGACTTCTAACTTATAACTGATAAGCACCATAGACGCAGGATAACTTAGCCTCAGAAACTATTCATTACTAATCTAACAAGTGTAAATTTCTTTCATCATCCGCCAAAAACAAAAATAAAAAAAAAATCGTTCCAGCCAATACTTTAAATATATATTTTTTTATCACTTGTATCATATACGCAAGAAATCGAGAATCTAAACAAATCAAAATTAAAATGCCTGGGTATCACTTATCCAAGCTACTGCATCAGAAGTTGTATGTATCAAAAAATATTATGATCACGCCATTTTAACTTTAACCTATCTTTATGTGGATATACACATTGACTTCTTCATATTTTATTTCCTAAAATGAATTCAGGAAACGTTTTCACATCTGGGAGATCATGGAAATTTGTAGGCGAATTTTGACACTCCTACCACAATGCACTCTTATCCAAATTTGGATGATATCGAGGATGATGATGGCATTTTCATGGTTAAATCGTGTATCCCTGCAGCGTCCACTTCTAAGAAGAATCGAGATCCAAAAGGTACCCCGCCAAGAGAGACAAAGTTGGACTTTCAGATATATGCACCTCACAATTTTCTACCTGGAAGCCTGTAAAGGCAACGGACTGATTTCATACCTGTGTTCTTCCTTTGATTAATATGAGTGGAAAACTTGGAACCAGGTTTAAAAAAAAAAAAAAAGGTTCTGCTAAGTTCTGCCCCCAACAATTACTTGAAAAGAATCCCCTCAAAGAAATATTCCTGGATTAGTCCAAGCAGGAGTTTGATTGATTTATGTTGGATCAATGTTATTAGCTCTCTTTTGACGGTACTTTCATTACACTTTTGGTTTGTTCTGCCCTGATGAACAGACAAATATTTTGTGAACTGAAGTTTAGTTTCCTGCCATGTATGGCATCAAGGAAAATTAAGTCTTGTACTAATTAATTCATTTTCATCTTACTCAATTCACAATCTTATATCATCATAAATGAATCTTTCCCCGTGCACCGCAGCGCAGGCATCAGATTTGCTAATTTAGATTTTAGATGATAGAAAGAAACAGACGTACTTATTAGAAACCAAACTAGAATAAAAAAAACCCCCGGCTTATAGGCAAAAGGAAAGATAGGCACAATCATTAACGCCACAACAGTGCAAGAAATGGAAACCCTAATCGATCATGGGGGAAGTAACAGAGAGGGAGAGAGAGATTGAGATTACTAAAAGACCTTCTGGCGCTTCCAGGAGAGGAACTGGGACTCTGTGATGGGGCACGCCCTGGGCCTCTCATCATCATGCTTTTCCTGTTCTTCGGTTACAGCTCCCATCGTTCCCTTTACCTCTAACGTCTGACTAAACTGTAGCAGACGATCCGCCACTGGAGAAGACAAACTTCGTCGAGGAGAATGGAGATGAAGATGAACAAGGATTATGGATGGACAAACGACGATGTCATTTGAGAGGAAGCGTTTAATCGTAAATCGCAATGCGCAGCATGACGACGCCGACGCCGACACCTTTACATATTCTTTTCAATAAAATATACACACTTGTCTCATGTACTTCTCCAAACTCATTTATAAATTATATTTTAAAAAATTTATTTAATTTTATTTATTAGTTATAATATAACTTTTCAAATAATATTTTAAAAATTATTCTTTATAAAAAAATAAAAATAATATAATATTATTTTTTAAATTTATTATATAAAAATATAGTTAAAATTTTACATTTTTTATACTGTTTTTATATTAATATTGATAAAATTAATAAAAATAATTTATAAAAAAAATTGAGAGAATGATTGTTAACAAAAAGTGAAAAAGTATAAAAATTACTGCCCCCTGTTTAATCAACTGACCAAAAAAAATTATTTTTAATCAAATTATATTTTTAATAAAATAATTACTTATATTTAAATTAATATTATTTTTATATTTATTTTTATTTAATAAAATTTTTATTTTAAAAAATATGAAGTGATTTTTTTATTAAAAATATTTTTAAAAAATATTAATATTAATTATATTTTAAAATATTAAAAAATATTATTAAATGGAAAGGTATCTTATACCGCTACATCTTTGCACAACAAATTATCATAATAAAAAATAATTCTCAAGCTCAACATTTTTCGCATCCTTACATTCAACCTGAAATCTAGTGTTTAAGGAGTTATAACTCATTACGCCGACACTAACACTTTGCCAAATCATATCTCCCACTGTACACCGATCCCATCAACACTTCATAGCTAAGTGTCCTTGAACGTGAATGATATTAGGATGAGTAATCTCATCACAGGTCATCGTGAAACACTGTCTCCCACTCAAAAGGAATGTATTGTTGCGCCACTCTTCTTTAAAAAAAAAGATTTAATTTTTTCCTTCTGTTTGATCTTTATTCGAAATTCAATTTTATAGGTTATATATTGTTAACTCAAATGTGAAATTGGGGTTTGAATACGCTATCGAGTAAATAAATCAATAATACCCGGATTGTGCGTGGGTTTAAATTCGGTCCTTTAAATGGAATCTTTCAAAAATTAGAATGAGTAAAATATACTCCCATATTAAAAAATGTAAGACATTTTTAACTGAATCTCACCTTTCAATAAAGTAGTTACTTACTTTTTAACTAACCATATCTTTTCATATTTACCTCTCTTAAACACCTTATAATAAATATAAAATTATTATCAATAGGGACACTTTTAAAAAAAGATAATGATTATATCTAAAAAAACTAAAAATGTTTTATATTTTTTAACATCCAACTTCTCAAAAAATGCTTCATATTTTTTAACGGTGGGAGTATGTCATTTTTTTTACTTTTATATATGTCATCTTTTTTATCCCAAGTGTAAATCGCAAGAAGTTTTTCTTTTGTTTAAAATATAAGATTAAGGTTTATTTTTATCCTTGAAGTATTTCTCAAGGAACACCTAGTATCCTAATGTTTTTGTTGGACAAATTTTACCCTTAAAATTATCAAAACGGAGCATTTTTGCCCTTTCTATCAAAATTTTAACATTGACCTCAAACGTTGACTATTAGAAAATTTGACGGAAAAGGCAAAAGTGCTACGTTTTGAAAACTTTAAGGGTAAAATTGCTCCAATAAAAACTTTAAGGTATTGGGTGTTCCTCAAAAAATACTTTGGAGACAAAAATATACCTTTACCCTAAAATATAAGATATTTCAAATATTTAAGAATTAATTTTTTTCATTTTATTGTTGAATTTATCAACCTAGTTTATTGTGTAGCATGAAAATTTATCACTTTTTTCTCATTCTAGTTTTATACCCTTTTGACTTTCTCATGTAACATCTCATTAAAAATATTATCGACATAAATACTTTTTTTTAATTTAACCCATGATTAGTAGTTGGATCTAAGGCTTTATTTGATATGGTGGAATTAAGAAAATGAAAATGTACATGGAAATAGGATGCAAAATTTTGCATGTTTGGTTGGATAAAAATAGGTTGAATTAAGCTTTAACATGGAAGCCATTTCCATAAAAATTAACAAAATTGATTTCCATCTCATAACCCATGGAGTTCAAATTCTACCAGTCTTCTCGCCTCATCTTCTTTATTATACCCTTTTTCCATTTCAACACACTTGAAAGCGAGCAGGACCAACTTGATGGTGACCTCTATAGTGTTTGTGACAGCTACCTTCTTATTGCCAGTGATGACCTACCTTCTTCCAGATCTAATAGTGACAAATCTAGAACCACCTTCTCCTTCTTCCTCTCTTCTTCTCCTCTGCATGCAGGGCAAACCCATCACATTCCTCTTATCATTGCCACAGCAACAAAGACCCGCCATGTTCAGAGCAGTTCTTGCATCCCTGACGTTCTACTTATAAGCAAAGATGCTAGAGATAGTGAGTTACACCACCCTCGTGTCCAGGAACATAAAACAAGCAACTATAGTAAGGAATTCTCTCACAAGCATAGACTTTATTTGCTTGGAATAGTTCACATATTTTTCAGGAAGATGCTAGAGACGTTAAGGTACATCGCCCTCCTTTGCATACCAGTTCAAGATGACATTAATTTTGATTTTGATTTATGTTGTTTTTCATTAGATGGTAATTTTGATATCTGGGTTGGAAAATTATTATCTAGGTTAGAGTGACAGTGATTTTGATATAGGGGTTAAAGCAAGTTTTTATTGGATGACAGCATTTTAGTCTTTTCATATTTTAAATACTAATATTAAATGAAAGTAATCTATCAATTTCATGGACATACCAAACATATTTTTAAACCTCATATCCGTTTTCATTTCAATATCCATTTTCATCAAAATTATTTTCACTATACCAAATGAGGCATGAGAGTAAAAAGATAAAAGTATGATATATTTTCATGAGAACAAGGGTATTTTCTCCCATCCTTAAAGTACCTTTTAAAAGAAATTTATGATCTCTATTATAAGATATTTGATGACATATTAATTATATTTTTTCAATATTACTTATATTCAAATTCATTAACTACTAGAAAGGATGTGATGTGTAGCATCTTGAGTTTTAACCCTTAGCTAATCAAAGTTATAATCAAGTTTGAATAAGTAAAATTCACTTAAAGGATATTTAGAGATGATTAAGGGACCTTCTAGACTTATGCATTGCCTTAAGAAGGGATATGGGATGGAATTCAGGCGATACAAGCTTAAGAAAGGAAGAGGATATAAAGTAGGAGTTCTGTGCCACGAGCCGTGACATTTATATGGCCTATCATGATGCAATAGACTGAGAAAGAGAGGAAGAACCTCTCCGTGCTGTTTGCCTCAATGCAAGAAGCATCAATCACGACACATGGTCACTGAATAGGGAGGATAAGTGTAAAATCTCCAAAATGCTAATCTCATTAAAAACCAAAACTTAAGATAATCAAATAATTAACCCATGAAGAGATTACCAAGTTTGTAATTTGAAATGATGAGATCCCAAGTTTTCGTAATTTAAAACAAATCAAAACCATTCATTAGACCTTTAATAAGAGTAAAATAATGTTATAGAAGCATGAGATACCTCAGAGGAGTAAAATGAGTCAAAACATCTTGAAAAATCTCAAGGTTTTAAAAACAAAACAGTACACCACAGCTTATGCACAGTGTGCTATGACTTATCACTCTATGCATTATGTGCCGCGGCATGTTACACACTTATGACAGCAAATCTGGGCAACTTCCTGCGTGTCCCATTCTCCATTTGACATCCAAATGAGTTGATCTAAGTGTCTATGAAAAGCTCATAATATAAACTAGTTAATGGTACAGGTTTTATTTTCAAATCAAATCGCACCAAAAAAAAGTTGGACACCTAAACCTATTTTCACAACTTTTCATACTTTTCATAACCAAAATCCTATACAAGTGTCAAAAGTCATTCTTAACACCCTGATCATATTCATTGGACCTAGAACTAATAATACAACACATCACTTACACATATACACTACCATTTCACATTTTCACCCCTCAATCTCTTTAATATTAAAAACTAAAAGGGGATATTTTAGCGCTGCATTTGATCAAAAATCATCCATATCATGTTTAAAACAATCTTACCACACTTACACTAGTGTTTTGGCCTTATCAACCTTTACAACTTATCATAAACAATGTCTCAGGGCCCAAAATACATTCTAAACTTCATAGACAACTATATAGTACAAGTATAAAGTAAAAATGCATCCTAATTGATAATATTTAAGCTATTACACAAAATAAATAAATTAAAGAGGCATTACAATAAGAATACCCATATTCCTAAGCCTCCAAAGCTTTTTTCCTTTCTATACCAGAGCTAGAGCCTGTAAAATGTAAAAATAGATAAGCGAGTCTAGCCACCCAGTAACTAATATATACCTACCCTATGTAGTTATATATTAATGGATTTAAACATTTAAAGTAAATTGAATGCTCAAAATCATTTGATTATATAAGATATAAGTTATGATTTCATAATCAATTTCACATTTACACATATCAATTCAGATCACATAGCACGTTGCCACAGGATACACAGACATGTGGCAACGACGCAATATTTCTTTCATGACTTGTCATAAACTTAATAATGATGTGACACATCTAATGATTATATAAGCATAATTAAACCACCTTATACCCTTCATATTTCCTTTGACTGAAATCGTGGGCTATAACGTCAAATAAGACTCCATCCATGTGACTAAATTATCCAAGCTCACCAATTATAAGGTGTAACCAGACTCAAGATCACATGACTCACTCTCAGACCATGGCTTTCCCCACTCATAAATCTATGGGGTGTTGTATACCTTAAGCTAACCTCCTCGATAAACTGGTGGAGATAATTAAGTTTTAATCCCTCAATAAACTACAGGACATTCCTCTGATAAACTCTAAGATAAGGCTATACCCTTGTGCATCGAAAGGCAATTAAAAATACCATATAAATTTTAACTACTTTTTTCCTTAGGCGAACTTTCACCAACTGATTATGCCATGTACATG